AATATTATCATATTAGAACAATTTATTAGCACGTGTAAACTATCATAGTATAGGCCTAAATTCTAATTTACGATATTTATAAGGTACTATTTAAAAGCCACAAGCATAGCTCTGAAGAGTTCAATCTAATAAATTTGTAGAATAGAAACCGTTGATGCAACCCTGTATATTGTTATTAGGTCATCTACGATTCGGACCTTCTTTTTGATATCAATAAATGCATTTCATTACTAACGATTATACATTCAAGATAATGTTTTATGGGAGGTCTAGATACAAATTTTCTGAGAGAAAGAATATTTTTTTCGGAGAAAGAAGTGCTCTTTAACAGTTGTGATTTGGAAGAAACATCAACAATTTTTTAGACATGTTCTTGAGTTATTAACCCTAGGGTCGGAAAGAGGTGGACGGAAGAATGCAATGACGAGGAGGTACAGTATCCCGTCTCCTCGGATCTGCAGGGAATGACAACAGGCCCATAACAGTTTTATTCTGTTTTTATATTGCTAGTTTGTAATTCAGTTTAATTGCCGTCTTGGCAAAAGCATCGCTACTGCTCATATCTATTAATTTATAACATATTAAATAAGTTTTAGACATGGAATTATATAGATGACAAGTATTAATACTGGTTATTGTTGTACCTTTGTGCACATTAACACCAATAATGTCGGCTCACCGCCTGTCTTATTGTCCGATAGACTGTGATGAAAATGCGAACAAAAATACTGTAGTGTAGACTTGACATTACGGGATTGCTGTGTTCGCATTCAAACAAAAGGAAAGCTGCATCAAATAAAAAAGTTGCTGGTAGGCCTACGTATGTTTTTCCTATTTTACATTCACAAATCAATAGTAACAGAGACGAAAACCTCCAATAATTTGACAGCAAACATAACAATCATTTCATCTCAAATAAACATTTATTTCTTCCTATACAATAATCAAATATTTCAATAAATAAATACAAATATAAAAGCCAAACATTGGCATAGGCAATAAAACACTTCTCGTCTAATACATAAAAAAAGACAGATAGCTAGGCCTATAAGCATTCTGTACATACACATATAAAAACTAATATTTGTAAAACAATAATAATATAAATAGTAATAATATTAATGTTATTGGTGGATCGTTGTTATGGTGACACTTAACAAGCAGTTCAGTTGTTTTGTTGTGTGTAATAGCAGTAATGGAAAAAAAATAATAGCATATAATATAAATCAAGATAGCCGTTAACACTGTAAAAATATATATAAATCATCAAAGAAAGGTATATACAGTGTTCGAATAAAGGACATGATAATAAATATAAATATAACAGTGTTGACGGTTATCTTGACTTATATTATATTATTATTTGTTTCTAGCCGTACGTATTGTGTAATAGAGTGTATCTGACGTTATTTGAATCTGTTCAACCATTAAGCCTCTATGGTTATAATGGTTATGACGCTCGCCTAGACAACGAGGGGTCGCAGGTTCGAATCCCGAATCCCAAGAAGGAATTTTATTGCACAATTTATTTATTTATTTATTTATTTATTTATTTATTTATTTATTTATTTATTTGTAGGACAACATTATTTGAGAGCTATGCTACAGTTACGCGGTGGCGATTAGCAGAATTAAGTCATGGGCCTAGATGTATTTGTCTTACGCTTACGCTGTACTGTGATAAGATAAGATGGATTTGACAAGGGTTGGCGACAATAGTCTTTCTTTTTCGAGTCCGAAGTCCACATGTAGAACAATCTTCCTCTGACGTCGTTCTTCAGACGTTGTTGGTGAGAAGTTGCTGTCTTTAAGTCTGCCATAAAGACTTGGCTTAGGCACCTCATGGCCTACCTGTAGAATTAACCGGATCTCGTCTTATTTTGATGTTCCGTACATTGTCTCCGTCCTCTGATTAGTTATTTTTAAAATTATAATTAAGGTTTAGCAATACTGCTTCAGTTGGCTTCAGCTTGATTTAGGTTGGGCATGACAGAGGCTCCCTACCCACTGTGGTGTGGGTTCAAAATATGGAAGTGCTGTGGGGTACTAGCGCTTTACATTGGAAAAGGCGGCTCTACACTGTAGATGACAAAACCACAGAATAAAACAACAGATGTGTTTTTTAGGAGATAGCACACGATCTAGACTGTTGAATAATAATCACAAATACTATATAATTTATATAGGCCTAGTAATCATATCAGTCAGCTGACCCGGAAACATTACCATATACCGTACAATACGCTAGAGATAAAATGGTTAATGTAACCATAGAGAAAATGGTGTAACAACGTTATCGCTGAAGGATAGTAGGCCTATTTGCCCCCAGTTAGTTTAGGCCAATATAAAACTAATAATTTCACGTTCTCACCCTCACGATGAAAAAGTTTACTATTTGCTTTTTTTTTCCAAAATACAATCATAAAATAAAAATAATGACGATCTGATAAAGATTGCTGTCTAAATCAAAGAAATGATGGAGACATAAATGACAAATACATTACAAAAACTCATTTTATTTCCCCCCTTTTTTAAAATAAAAATTACTTATTTTTACCAATCTGTTCACAACTCTAATATAGGATAGTAAATAGCAAATATACACCCGCAGCAAAAAGTAATTTCAAATCCCGGTTCAAATCCCGGACGCGAAACTAACAATAAATGTTATTTGGCCTTATCCAATAAGAACGCTATAGGCATCAGAAATTACATCAGTGTGTGGTTTCTCATGAAGGCAATTTCCATAGTTTTCCATAGTGCTGCGATCCCAATTTATCTGGGCAAAACACAAATTCGACCCCAAACCAACTCCTGTCTTCAAACCAAATAACCATCTCTAAAAGGTCAATTATAGGTCTAGGCTTAATACTATCTTTTACGGTATGTGACATAACGGGTTTAATTCGATTTTTCTAATTGAATAAAATTTTCAGTCGTAGAAATAGGCCCCTACAATATTTTATATGGCACCAAAGAAAGAAAATTAGTAGTTTAAATTGATTGAATAGTTTAATTTAACTTATACTTTTGTGTTTCAGGTTTTGGAGTAAAATATTAAAATTAATCTGTCATGCAGAGTAGGTCCACTGATAAGATTGAGATAAATTTAAAACAAACTACAGATACAAGCCACATGATTCAATATTTTGACCATTAAAGTCAGGCTCCGGAGGAAAAAATGATATGTTGTAGAACTGATTTTTCCAAGACAGAAAAAGGGTGTTTGACAAAAAACTAAGGACGGTTAATAAGATACAGATTTTTTAATATTTAAAAACTAGGGGAAAAAGTGGAAAAAAGGTGGTTACGCTCCTGTTCCCCCAGTTTTTAAATATTTAAAAATTTGTATCATCTCATTCACCGTTCTCAGTTTTTCGTCAAACAACGTTTTTGTTCTTAGAAAAATCAGTTCTACAACATATCAAATTGTTTGTTTCCTTTGGAGCCTACTTTTATTAAATCATCATCCGGGATGTACGCTTATAGAGGCCTAGGTAAAATGGCGTTGAAAAGATGGTTCTACAAGTGTGTTAGGGGCTTCTCTGGTACGAAAACGTATTCAGCTCATGAAAACAAATTATTCCTCCATTTTATAAACGTTATATTACAGTATTTCTAAAAATAGAAATACAATAGTACTCTATTTAAAAGTGCCACAATCAGTGAGCCGTTTATCACATCGCAAAGAAATAATATAATGCATAGGCTAATATTAATACAGTAATACGTTAACAAAGCTTTTAATGTAAGAAAGGCAAACATGGGTAGGAACCTGGTTAGTTTGGGGCCCAGTTGGGTTTTGGTGGGTTGGTTTCGGGATTCGGGTTGAATTGGGGTCTAGTTTTTTTTTTATGGCCGAGTTGACATATGGAGGCACAGTTGATTTTGGGACCACATACAGCCCCAGACCAACTCTATCAGACAAACTATTATAGGAACAATCCCACTCAGATCACAATCCAATTGGAACCAAAACCAACTCAGGACCGTAGTGTTTAGTAGATTCAATGTTTAATATGATTTGTTTAAATGTTTAAAACTATAACACATTTGATGCTATTTATTGGTTTACACTTATTAAAGGGCCTATGGACATGACACGTGGCATTGGATGCTAACACTGCTGATAAGTAAAAATATGATTGCATAATCTGATAAAGATAATTAATACCCTCACATTCAGACAGAACGTCGATTTGATATATGATTCGCAGATGTTGACAACATCGAACGAGTCTCGCATCATCGTGCGACTTCTTTAACAATTATAACCATTTCACCTGTCATTGTTACTATTTTAATGCTTTAATTAGTAGTTTTATTTATCTTCAAGTTGTATTTCAGTTCAAATCCAGTTTTCTATTCAAAAAATACAGATATTCTGAGTCTTTGTAGGATGATGTAGGAAGGGGATGTGCAAAGTGAGTGAGGGGAAGCACAGGTGGTGTTAGGTGGTATTCCATTCCAATCATTAAAGATAACTTTATGGTAGTATCAGGATTCAAGATATTTATTGTCCAAAATATGGATATACTTATATATATATATACATATATATATATATACACATATATATATATATATATATATATATATACGTATATATAGGCCTATATATTATATATTATATGCCTACAAATATCGAAAATATAACGAAAATAGCAAAAATTAACCAATTTAAAATATAAAAAAGGTATGACCTATGACTATATACAGTTAATAAATATAGTTAAAAGTGCAACATAAATTTAGACTTTTGATTTGAAGCATCGTATTGCAAAAGTATGAATGAGTTGCGAAATCTGGAGGTACGGCATAGAGTTGAAATGAAATGCAAATGATTGGACGGGTGTATGCATAAAGTAATAATGGAGTTTATGAAGGAATTGCTAGCCTAGAATGATGTCATGATGAAGTGGCCCAGGGTAGCCTCTATATAAATTCTCCATTAGCATTTAATATAAATCGTTATAATAATAACATAATATTATACCCACCTATTGCCGTAGACGTCGCATCGAACTCTTTTTGTAACGTCATCAGAATCATGCTAACCGTGTGAATAACACCAACAATGCCGACATTGAGAACGAAAACACAAACAGCAATAGACCATCCGCGTGTATTTTGTATACCCATTGTTGAGGCAGCCGAAGTTTGTTTACACTGAGATGATTTAGTACTGTAATATTAAGCACCTTGTTCCGACGATCAACCCGCAGGTGAATGATGCGAAACAGTTATAAGCGAATGCTTCTTCTACTAAACAGGTTGAACACTTTTGCTGACTTTATCAGTAGCATGATTTGCTAAAGATACAAAACAAGACAGTGTATGAATACAAGAGAGAGGACAGCAACGGCAACGGCGACTCACACAAATCTCAAATGAACGCTTTCGGTCATTTCTCACCAATAATAAAATAAAATTGGTTACTAATAATCGTTCAAGGCTACACGTTGAGGGCAGATTTCGAAAGTATAAACGCTACTGTCACAGTACACCGTGTCCTGCCCATGAACTCTGGCGGTGACTAAGTTGCGTAAATCAACCACGGAGACAGACGCTAGGTCTATATATTAAATTTTAATAGCGAAAACATATAAATGTGGATCAGTAGGTCTTCATCCTCCAATAATCTAATGAACAGTGATGGCTTCAGACATTTACCAAAAGGGATCCCAACAATCCGACAAGGGGGGGGGGGGGGGGGAGCCNNNAGTCCAAAACCTCCCGGAATAAAAATCCCTGGCGAGTTCATGGGAATTTATTGATTAGGGTGGCCAAAAATTGTGCCTTTTAGGGACTGGCAATCACTTTGTATATTAGACCTATGTTATATTACTAAATATATTTTGTCCCGTACGACAAAGGGGATGGAAACATTCTGATGCCGAAACTGCTAATAACAACTATGATAACTATAATGATAAAATCAGTGGCGTAACGGCATGGGCCCCAGCAAATACATATTTTTTGAATTTTTTTTTTTTACAAACCAATAGGCCTTTTTACAAGCCAAAGTCTGCCGAGTGATTGGGGGCATTTTTATTATCATCACTCTCGCCAGTTTACGTTTTGTTGAAACTTGAAAAAGTTGTGCGAGTACTGTAACCATGAGTAAAAGCATTGACACACATAAGCTTGATACATGTATCTGTCCAAAATATTTATTGATTTTAATTGACTCGTTTTGTTTGGTATTTATTGTCATAGCCTATGTTTATTAGTGATATCTTAGTTAAAATTAAGTATGCTCTTTTAGGTCAAATCACGTACGTTATATGAAATTAGAATTGGAATGTGTAAAAAAGGCATTGTCATAGGAAGCTAAAAATGCCGGAGCAGCCGGGTGCGCTTCGTGGCTCCCCGGCCCCCAGCGTCTGAGAGCCCTAGGGCCCCTGCCCAGGGGCCTCCAGCTCCCTCGTAACGCCACTGGATAAAATGATAATTATGATAAATAATTTATTTATTATTATGGATATATATATAATCAAAGAAGCTGCATAGGCAGAGTGACATGATATAAAATCAAAAACATAAATGGCAACTTTTATATTAAATTCTTTCTGCACACCACGTAGATACTCTGAAAAAACTGTTGTTTATGTTGAGAAAAAACTTTTATAATCTCAAGGTCAGATTTTGCCACCACGTCTTTAAAATGGATCAATTTTTACGTCGCATTTAAAAAAAAAATATCACAAGACCCATCATGGTGCTCTGTCCCAGGCAGGAAACAGCTAGGGCGTTTCCCTGTGTTCCCAAACCCCATTCATTTGATCCCGGCGGTGTATACACCGTGTAGGCCTGACGTCCTCATACCACACTGTTTAGACGAGCAGATCGTGTTCCCGATTGTGTTATAAATAGGTTTTTAAATGAATTGGCCATGTTAAAAAATTAGTACACCCAGCGCGAACTGATCGGCCACAATAAAACAATTTAATTCGTCATAACAAATAATACTTGACCCTTAATAATCCGATAAGGATTATTGAAAGTGAGTTCAGTGTGTGGTTGATTAAATAGATGTATTTAAATTTTCAGATAGCTCAATTCCTATTGTATTCTAGAAACTACTATTGGCAGTCACTACCAGCTTTAACTGAAGTTATTTTTACGAGGGCTTTTAATTGTACTGTACAGTTTAAGTCCTTGATTTATCAAAATATTTAAAAAATGGGATTAACTTAAATTTCACCGATATGCATTAATAATTCTTGATTTATATAGAGGCTGACATTGAAACAAATTTGGGTCCGTCACTTTACATTGTGGTAAACAGGATTGAAATTTTTAAAAAATACTATAGGCCTATATCAACAAGAGTTTGGCACCCTACGCATTTACGCATATAAAGTAAAAATAAATATGGTACTGTAATAATGAATTAATGAATATCTCAAGTTTCTTAATACTCTTTAAATACAATATCTAAAACAAAGGCAGATTCATTTAAAAACCATAATTTTAATTTTTTCATTCGCAAATATTTTACATATAAATATACAGTACATATTGCATTTTATTAAATTTTATCAGCTTGCATATTCATTCGAAATATATATTGTTTTACGCAAAGCGAAATAATAATCTGTTCTCAATTATTTCTAAATTAATTTACAAGAGAATAAGCTCTTAAAAAAACCATACATTGAATAAAAAAAAAAATCAAAAATGCAATTACCATATTTATTTGAATAAACGCCCAGGGGAATATATTGTCGAGAAGACTTTTTGAAGGGGTGCTTATTCAAGGAAGGCGTTTAATTTTTTGGATGTAAAATGGATACCTATATACTCAAATAAATGCCCCTTAATTTCACTTTAAATGTGGGTGGAACTACAAAACATAATTACCATCAAAATGTGTTACTGCATGATCATAAAGACTTATTGATCCCAACCAGGTTAGAAAAAAATTTAATTGTCCTGGAGTAGAACATTAATAGAAAGTGTTTAGAATAATGTTGCTTCATTAGATTTGTTTAGTCATAGGGGGTCGCTTACTTGAGAAAAAAAAATACCTTGAGGGAGGCATTCATGCCAAATGTGGTTCTTCGAGGGGGGGGGGGGCAGTATTATCATAAATTCATAAATTATCAAAGTATTTTCATGAATTAAGAAGATCAAAATAAATAAATAAGAATAAACTATAAATAAAATCAATTGAATGAGTTGCCATTCACTTTACACCACTGCTGAATTGCAAATTTTGTTCCCGTACTGATCCGTTCTACATCTGGACCTGTTGGGGGTGCTGTTGCAAAAAGCATTGATGTCTGCATGGCCTGAATAATTGGCTGGTTTGTGTCTGCTCTTAAAACAACTGACCTGAAAGATAATTATTTTTAAAAAATGCAAATGGACATAGTAATAATAACAATAATAAAGTTATATTCAAATGGCATATATAAGGTTTGTACATTACAACAAGAATATATTTAGCCTTGACATTTAATAGACAAAAATTATAGGCAGTACATGCAATATGTGCTATATAAATGACAATTTATTATTATTATATTATACTATACAAAATAACGTACTGGAATGTTTGAGGTAGATGACAAGGTAACTCCCGCATTGGTTTATTATTGTCAGCTGACATAGCAATCTCACTTAGACAGTCCTCGGACAGCCAAGCAGCTGCGTCTGTTTCGTTCGGATCCAATGCTAACCTTTCTTGCAACTTTAGATGATCTTCGTCCACGATAGCAATTTGGTATATCACCATGTGGTGGCGCTTCGGCAAGCCTTGTGACAGCATAGCAGGGTATACAGACTAAAAATATATTTAAAAAAAATGAAATATAAACAATTTTTTGTGATGAAGTTTGAAAGGTTATGATATTTATATATTCTATTCTAATCATGTTTAGTAATGGTATCATCATCAGGCATCATCACCATTCTCAACCTGCTTTGCTTTCACATTGCACCATTAGGAATTTAAGTAGCTTCACATACTATGATTCCAGATTTATTTGCTTCCAGATTACGCCACTGGGAATACAGAGAACTGCTTGGAATACTGTAGAATGGCATGATTTGATTTGACATGCAAGCAACAGACCGGTTTTAATGACAATCCATTCAGATTGCCGCCCAAAATCGGCAGATGGTGTTGCATTGCCTAGCGGCCACAAGGAGTGTAGTTGGATTTGTCGTATGATAGTCGTGGGTTCTCAGCTTTACTGGCCATTAATTGACTTTGCTTACAGATTGCAACACATGGAATAAAATGGCTTAATTTGCTTTGCCTTCAAAACTTGACCACTGCAGAGTTGCCCAACCTGCTTTGCTTCTAGTCTAATCCACTGGAGTGGTATTTACTTTCAGATTGCTTTTAAACTAAAAATGGACCACTCTCTACTTGCTTGTGGTCTTAATTTAAGCTTAAATTGATTGGAAATATATTTAATTACATGGGTATACGCCACCAAAAACAATGCTTGTGTTCAATGCCTTGTCTTTAGATTCATAGCAAATCATGTGCAACCACCTCTACTAAAAAGAAATATGTGATGTGCCCAAGGACACAAACAAGGGAATAGCCTGCCCAAGGACACAAACAAGGGACTAGCCTCAGATTTGAACCAAATATTTGAAAGCAGAAAGCCTTAGCAGTGCAGCACATAATTTCCGGATATATTATTATTTGCCAAGTATATCAGCATACCTCCCACAAGGCAAGAACTTTGATTGAGATGCAATCTTCTGGTTTGATTCGGAGACCTGTTTCCTCTTCTAATTCTCTCAGCCCTGCTTCTTGTAACTGCAGGAAGAAATAAATATAAACATTTATTTAATATTAAATTTGGTTCTGTGTAATCACAAGCTACATTCAGTCTAATGCATTTATGACCTTTAAAGTTATCAGAATGACTCAGACATAGCTTCATTTTTAATTAATTTTTAGCAAAAAATTTCCACTTTATATACCTTTGTGTTTTATTAATGACATGCCAGTTTTGAATCTTGAATCTTCAAATGCGTATCAGAATTCTTGAATTTATACATTTCTGGTTATTGTTAGGTGATATTATACCAAATATACAAAATCAGCAATTGCTTTTTACATGGCCTTACTTTTAAGTAATTCACATTCACATTCACTGTTGAACAAGTAAATTTCTACATAATAGTAGACGCTTCAAGGGCTTCGCCTCCTTGAACACTTTTAAATGATTATGACGCCTGAAACAAAGACCACAGGAGTGGAAGGGGAGCATTAATATAAGTCACTATTAGGATTTAGCTCCAGTATGATAG